CATCAGAGCTTCACGCAGAAGTGAGATCACTGACTGCACTTGGACATTTATGACGTACCAGTTCGCCTTAGTATATTCCAACTGGTCTTTCGGCGAGTGCATACACGCCTGATGAAAATGAGTTCTTACCCCCGTTTTCTTAAGATGGCTGCGCAACCAACCATTAGGATGACTTCTTTTGTTTGCATACAACATGTTGGTCGCTGACACTTGCAGCTGTTTTGAACATCGTTAACCATTCTTACTTGCTGGTAGCCTCAGAGTTTCGTACACGTTCACTTATTCTAATCTATCCCAGGTCCACGCATTTGTGCACAGTGGGCTGAACATAGTATCCGAATGATCTACTACCTGGAAAACTTCGTTCAGTATGGGCAAATGTGGCTGTTTATGGTTAACTGCTCCCCCGATTGACGTCCGACTACACCTGTAGATTACGAAACTACCTGTTCCTAAGAGCGTCTGTGACCATGGGCTAGGACACATAGGTGTCCTTGGACTTTCCGAACAGATTGTATTACAGGCATGCAAATCTAGAATCCGATTTGGATCCATAATCCGTAACCTATGTTTCATAGGGGTTAAGTTTCTGCTCCATAGATCTTGGATTTATTTTGAGTGGTACGCGAGTCGACGACAAACTAAAAGTAAAGGGTGTCCGAAGATATTTTACACCTAGATTACCAAGATATGAGTGTAGGCAGAATAACAAGCTCAGAAGCTTGACTGAAAATCTAGAAGCACTTAGGATGAGACAACAGAAAATCAATCTTACGCTTCTGTTCAACGTGCTGCACAAATTTATCTTTACAGCCAGTAGTGAGTTCCAGTCAGAATGCAACAGTTATTTTGATTTGAACAACAGAATCCATAGCACCACACTGAAACCTTTTAAGTCCACCCTTCATGGGAATTTCCCCACCGTCAAGTTATTTCAGATTCGGAGTAAGCTTCCTTTTGATTTAGTTGGTCACACGGTAAACTGCTATCATTTGGTGAATTTTTCAGGTTATTGAGTGTAGCAGCAGCATCTTCTTTGACCCTGTATGCTATTTGATCTTATCAGCAGCTCCGTTATTCCCCTAAACCAAACAAGCTGCAGTTCGCAAAAGGAATACTCACGAATAGACAATTACTAACTCCAGTGCCATAAACAGGAAAAACAAAGACTTCTGCGAATACTAAAGTGGTATAGCCGAACAAAAAGGACCGAACCTCAGGACTTAGAAATGAGACTTCAGAAACTAGGAGTTTTCTCTACTCACAGTATTTATGTTGATGTTGAATCAGCGCCTCAAGCGCCAAGTCTAAATTTCATACACACGCGACATTTCAAATGCTTGTGGTTTTTTGGGTAACTTTGATGGACACATCTGTTAACTCCCTCTAGGTATGTGTTGTAGTTGTTTAGTTGCACTCTAATGATTCACTATTTTTGTGTTTATGTATTGCAGGTGATTTCAGTTTCTTCATCTATTTAAGTGTAACACGATATAACTTTGAAAAAATTAAGGCTTATGTCTTGACTTTTTAGGCTTCCGATATTTGAACTTTTCATATTGATTGCCAATGTATTTAATACTTGTTTCGTTTAAGCGTTTGTCTTCGCTACAGAGCAGTACATTATAGCGTACTTCGAGCCCCAACTTTTCGTGCAGCCGAACTTCACTACGAAATTCCTGGTATAAGGCACTTGGTTTTATTGTTACTTACTCCCTAAACATTCATCTCTATGCATCATGTTATAGTCACAAACACAACAGTTAACTGGTATTCAGTGAGACTGGTGTTCCCAGAAACTAGTTGTCCTTTATTATTATTGTTGTTCACGGTTTTTAAAATTGTAAGGCTTTGTGAAATAAAATTTGCACCACAAGTATTATCATAAAACCCATAAGTTTGTGGGTACCTGGAAACTTTTCGATACACACGTTATTCTACTTGCAATAAGTTAGTCAGGAATATGTTGATAGTAAGATAGTTGACGTTCGACATCAGTAAGTGCATCTTTGTCTCACTGGTTAGTTTCTGCCTGTGTTCACAGGTACTATATCATTGGCTATTTAAATGCTCTGATCTAGGATAATAGATGTATATACCTATAACCGATATCAGTGGCGCAGATGTATACACACATTATCCTCATCTTAACTGCTATATTTAATCACATCACTTTCTCATCCCTTCCCCATCTTCCTTACTACTTTCCACTCCCTTTGGTTGGTGTTTCTTTCATCTCTCATTTTGTCCCCTTTCTACTTGATGTGTTGATGAAGTGTGGCAACTTGGGCTTTTACGGTGTAATGCCTTGTCCTATATTGATCGTGATAATAATGATGTGCAAGTGGGTTCTTACCAAACGGTAATACACCATTAGTGTGTTAGGATGTTTAGGGTGAAACACTGAAATAAAGTAACTGGTCCACTTTAATGCTGCAGTTGCCCACAAACCAACCCGAACAAGGATAAGATAAAGATATCGGTCCGCCAACCGTCCTCGAATTTAAGATTGCTGCATGCCTGAAACAATGCAGAGCAGCAGGGCTTAAGGGTCTGCTACCAGACCTCTTCTCAGGGAGGTAAAAAACTAAACTGTAGAGCAACAGAGGTACTAGCTGGTGTGTGTAGACCAGAGGTGTAGTTCTACTAGACTAATCTAGCTCCTTGGTCATTCCGGCTATAGAAACTAAGAGTCTTCTTGTGACAACCGTGAGGATTTTGGTTCACCTAACATCGTGTCCAAATTGCTATGGATCATGGTTATATATGATACCTAAGTGGGGCTCGAGAACATCACCTATCCATCCAAGTCAACCTAGGACCAGGCATTATTGCGTAACAGTTTGAGTTGCCACAGCTCATATCAGCACATCAAGCAAAAAGAAAGTGAAGTGGAAGATGGAGAAAAAATTCAATCGAAAGAAATATAAAGTACTAAGAGAGAGAGAAAAGGAGAATGAGGAACTGGTGAGACTTGGCATAGCGTCAAGATTGAGGATAATGTATGTATACATCCACCTCACTGACATCAGTTCTCAACTATATCACCTAGAATCTCCAACCACTGGTTCCTCTTGTCCCTCCAACCGCAACTGACTAGTCTGCATCGCCCTACATGGCTCAAACAAACAGTCAAGGACTTCATGCATTTTTGCCATGTTTTACTCTGGCAACCTTAGGTCTTTTTCCAGTCTGAACCTACTTCGGCCTACATTGCGTGACGAAGCAGATTGTGGTTAGGCATGCGTAACACATGTTCCAACCAGCCATCTCACTCCATCAAGGTTCACAACCATGTCAACTGACTTACCTCTCCTCCCTCAAACTACGCCTGACTTCTGCATTACGTGATGACAACACGGAATATGGCCTATACTACCAAGGCAACGGTGGTCAAACAGCAGAAGCCTTCTCGTGTCTTTCGCCCTCAGTGACCATGTTTCACAGCCATACAGTAGAACAGCTAACTTGAAAAAACGAGGTTTCAGACCAGGACGGGAGGGTACATCAATAATATCTTGCCTCTTCTACAGATGTAGGGACATATGCGTACAGGCGGCTAACGCCTCACATTTTTATTGACCTGAAGGTGGCATTCGACTCTGTCAATCAGGAAGTGATATGTCAGTATCTGATTGAACGGTTCATCGAGCAAGTACTCTCTACTCTAACTCACAACCGTGTAAAGCCTTATGAGGTGTTATCATCCAAATTGATGAAGATTAATAGCGTCCACCAGATGTGCCAGCTGTCGCCACTCCTATTCGACTTTTTTATAGATGTATTAATGGACATAACCTTAGGTAACTAACTTCACAGAGGCTATTCTACATCTTGGTGGAAATTGGGTTGACTTGGAGTAGATAGATAATATTGTCCCTTTAGGTGAATACTGACAGGATGCGAAGTCTTCTAAACGCCTTCAGCAGAAATCTGAGTATTTTTTACATGTTTTTCACCTGTCGAATGTAGGATGATGCTTGATGACTCGTCTACAGCAGCGCCATCACCTACTTTGACGTGCTATGCTAAGGGAAGCTGATTTTGGTTGTAAGAGGGTTTAGGGTGGCCAGACGTGGGACCAGTCGGTGAAGTCTCTTACTCTTGGTCTGAGCGACATAGAGAGATGTAGGCTACCTGGTTGGGATCCCTGAGACGAAAGGAATCAGTGGTCGAAAATTCTTGGTGACGGCTAAAAATCGGTCACAATGGCGCAGAAGTATTCACTCACTGCTTGACGTCTTCTGAAGGCTGACTATTTGCGGTAGCTCTTATCTTCAGACTACTTATCCTCTCACATTACTTTATCTTTGATATCACTCCATTTTTATCCACCTGTTCTTCATGCACTGCTGTGAAGTGTGGCAACGAGGTGATGCACCAATTTGATCAGTTCTAAACGATATCACTTGTTTCTGAGCGTCTATTTCGGTTGTGTTACAGACGTTATTTTAGAAATTTACCTGGGACTAAATATTTCGTCTAGTCATTCAAGGAATTCTCGTCTTTTGGTGACACTGTCTACATTTTCCAAATGTTTGAACACTTCCCATACATTTTGTCTACTTCAATCACATTCCCGCTTTATCCTTGTGTGTGTATATGTATGTTTATGTGGTGGTGTGGTTCATTGCTGTCATCATCTGACTTCCAAGTAATGAGTCCTGGGTTCAAGTCCCGTCCCATCTGCTTTAACCTGGATAATCGGATAGTACCACACACCTCCACACACTAAAGTGTAGTTTGTGGCCTAGTTAGTTCATAGACTTGTACCGGGTGGTGGTGCATTACCTAGTGTGCTGAAGTAAATTGTGGTGACTTGGATTAATACAGGGTTCAATATTGACTTTTCTTTTTATCAGTAAGATACTTTCACAGTGAAACACTAGTTGACGTCTACAAATCATTTTTAGTTATGTAACCGTAGTATCCTGTCTAATTTATTATACAAGTATTTGAATTATGTTCTTTTTTTATAGTAGGAATAAACGGGATAAAAGATGGTCACTGGACCTGAAGAACGTCATGAACAGCCACCACTAATAAATGATGAGGATATTCTTAATGACTGTGGACCAGTAGAGATCCCTCCACCACCTGCACTAGTGCAGTCTCTAGATGCTAGTGGTCCGAGATTGATAATCACTCAAATTGTTACTGAGAATTTCAAATCCTATGGTGGTATACGTGTTATGGGGCCATTCCATAGGAACTTTACTTGCATTATCGGTATGTTCACATGATATAAATGTAATTGGTGTTATCTTACAGGACCTAATGGGAGCGGTAAAAGCAATGTCATTGACTCAATGCTATTTGTATTTGGCTATCGAGCATCAAAAGTACGCTCAAAGAAAGTCAGTCAACTTATACACAAAAGCGAACTAGTGCCGAATGCTAACAACTGTATGGTGTCAGTACACTTTCAAAAGATCATTGATCAGGGTCCAGGTGCTACGGATTATGAAGTAAGTATGTATATATAGTCTTGGAATCTTCAGTAGTAATCCTGTGTATACATGATACTCCCAATGCTTTTACTTACTGTCTTCATGAAAGCAGTCAGCAATTAAAAATAATGATATTTAGTAATTGCTTAGGTACTGCTCAAATTATCTACACTTACATTAGTTTTAGCACACATAATATGATTATTCCTTGCCTACCAGATGTGATCTACAACTCTATCACATTGTATTCAGGGCTGTTAAACTCTGCTGTATAGAATGAAGAAGTAGAAGTAGTTAACGGTTGAGTAGATAGGTTGTCAACCTGCAACCGGATAACCTGTTTGACAAGTTTATCTAGTAATCAAATGAGGTAAAAATTCTATTTTGGTGTTTATATACTGTACTAAATGGATATTTAACACTAGAAAGATTTCTACAAAAGTAGATACCTAAGATAGACATTATTGATGGAGACCGATCAATTTGACCGCACCAACGACGGAAACTTACAAGCTTTAACATGAAAACTCTACTATACCTGTCAGATAAGCCTTGGGTATCGTGACTCAGTGGCCTAGTGGATAACGCTGGCGTTTGAAGCAGTCAACCCGGGATTCGAGTCTTAGTGGGATCAACATAACTCACTTGGGGGGGGGGGGCAGGTAAATATAGTTAACGAGTCCTAGAGAGTGTGAAACGAGCGTCTTGGATCCCATCGCTAGCCTCTATTCGTTATTAACATTATTAATAGCTATCTCCAAATTAGTAGTTGTCATCTTAATGGCCTGATTCTGAAATTCGGAAGTCTGCGTTGTTTAGACTGATATGTTGAGAACACTGTTTTCAGCCTCTTCGTAGTTGTTCTCCTATATGTCAACCTCCTCGGTGGTAACATGAATTATTAGCTAGTTACCCTGATGTGTAGTACATGGGTGGATTTTATGTAGTCCCAGACGCTACTTACTTATTTTGTCATTTAGGTAGGTTCAATGCACAATAATACGAGCCACATACGAACACCAGTCTAAATCCTTATTACTTTTGAATGGACTGAGACGTTTAATAGAATAATGCATACATGTCTTCAGACACTGAACAAGTCGATGATTTGATCCGTATTAGTGATGTAGTTCTGTCTGGCAAGGAATACGGTGTAGTAAGCAATCTGTTAGTATCCTGACTATATTCTATGTCATGTGCTCAGCTACATTCTGCAAGTAGCTAGGACCTTGTGTTTCCTACCTTTTTGGCACTGTTCAGCAAGATTAAGCCCCAGTCTGGAAAAATTGACCTTCCCACTAAGGTTAACTGGTTATCTACTTCATGTAATGGTACTAATCTGTAGGAGATTCACTTTTTTTGGAGATATTTTATGTGAAAATATGATGTTCATTGGTTTTCAACCACTTTGAACACCGCTTCGCTTACCGAGGTGGTTTAAACAGCCAGGTAGTAGTATCACTAACCCTCACACACTGGGTCTGACTCACTACCTACCATACGAATGTGCAGAAAGTAACTGAGTGGATTTCAATTCAGTTTTTGACAGAAGACTGCAACTTGTAAGTGTTTATTTCTATTTCAGTCTTTCACAATTTATGTTGATTTTAATTGACAGGTTGTTCCAGATAGCCAGTTTATCATCTCACGACGAGCCTATACAGATAACACTAGTTATTATTTAATCGATGATCATCGAGCTGTCTACCGTGATGTGGCCAATCTTTTACGTTCTCATGGTATTGATATTGATCACAATAGATTTCTCATCCTTCAAGGGGAAGTGGAACAAATTGCTTTAATGAAACCAAAAGCACCAAGTGAACATGAAGATGGATTTCTTGAATATTTAGAGGTGAGTCATTTTTCATTCAATCTCAGTCAAAGGTAGAATTGAATTCTCAGCAATTTCACATACTTTTAATCCTCATTCTAGGGACTTCATCTTGTAATATGTGCATACTTTTATTTACAAATGTTCACTTCAAGTAGACATTGCCTATCTCATTTCTTCTGTAACTTGAACAGGAATTCAAAAGTAAGCGTATGCAGAAGATTTTCAGTCAATCCAGTCCGAATGAAAACATCATGTAATTTTTGTTTATGTATCCTGTCTTGCATATTAAAATCTTGTGTATTTGACAACACATTAACAATAGTGTCTTCAATCACAAGCAGAGGTTAGATAGAAAGAAGAAAAAGTCAAGGGTGGTTAAAACAAAAAGAAAAATGGTTGTCAATTCATGAAGTTCCTCTAACTGGCTGGTGTTTGCTTCGACTGATTCCAACAAATGGAAGCTTATTCTTGAGGCTGATACTGGGCTTAGATCAAATCCCCCTCTCCGAATCGTTTCTATGTCGTTGTTGTTGCCTGTTGTATACTTTGTTTCCAACAGGCTTTCACAGTCTAAAAGATGGTGATTGATGTATCGAGAAAAAGTTTTTCTCTTCCATTTATCTCATATTTTGTTCCCAATAACATTGAACTGTGATGTAAATATCTAAATCGAGTTGAGATTTGATAGTTGGAAAAAAATTGGACATTGCATAAGTGATATGATACTTAAACCGCTACAAAAGAGCTTAGAATACACAATAAAGGATAGGATTCACTTGATTTTAAATCCGCAATTTTTCCCCTATAAAGTGGAGAAAGGTGAAATTATGGTAAATTACGACATCAATTCTTCATATAGATAGATATAATGTCTAACCTATTAGACTCAGATACAAAATTGACAGAAAGATATCCACTGAATACCAGTAACATCATCAAGACCCTAACATTCTGCTTAGAGACTACTTATGAAATAGTGGAGAATATTTGTAGCTCAGGTGGATGATCTTGGTTGCATTTTGTTCTCTGAGTTGAGTTGTTTAATCGTGAAGCTTTCATCGTCTTTCTAGATGACATCATCAGCACTAACTTCAGTATGAATTTAAAGGAAAACTATACAGGCAAACGAACGATGTTGCTGTGGGTTCACGTGTTTCACCCATGATAGCTAACCTATATTTATGAATAAATTTGAAGGAAGTGTCTTCACTCACTTACTAACGCCAAAAATTAGCTGAGATATGTTGATGACACATCCATAACTTCAAAAAGGTGACTTATAACAGGCGTTCTTAGATCAGTTAATCTCCCAGTATCAAGTTCAGTTCAGAAAAAGAAATGGATAAGGGGGAACTACCTTTCCTCAATTTTCTTGTTAGGCGGGAAAAAAATGAACATTTAGAAATAACCATTTTCACGAAAGCAACACATTCGAATAAATATTGGGATTTCAACTCATCACATCCAATTAGTGCAAAAGTTTCTGTTGCCGCCTCCAGTCTCTAGTAACGGATGAAAAATGAAAGAGTTAGGGAATTAAAATATGTCAAAAAGATACTTGTAATGAATAATTATCGGGTAAAACTCATTCCATCATCATACAACAGAGCATAGAACAGCAGTCAACTCTCTACCTCAACTTCATTGATTTTGAAAAGGCTTTCGACCTAGGCGTCGACTGAGTAATTTAACAGCTGCTTCAATACTACGGTTTTAGTGCCACCAACCTTTATCAACCTCATTCAACAGCAGCTATATGATGATGATGATGGTGCTATATGGCGATTGATTCATGATGGAAAGCCCAGTGATGCCTTTGAAGTGAAGTGAAGGCAGGAGTAAGAGAAGACAAGGTTGCCGCCTACTATCACCGATCATCTTCCTCATTGTGGTTGACCAGACTGAATTGGATCATGCAAGAAACTGTGAGGACTGAGAAGATGGGCATACACTGTCTGACTGATGTAAAGACCCCAGAAGAAGATTTGGATTTCACCTATCATGATTTATGTCTAATGTCTTTTGTTGAATAAACTCGAAGATATGTAGGCGAAAACTAAGAAGATGACAGAAGAAGCGAGGCAGGACAGCGAAGAAGGCACTCCTTTCAGATGAACGTAGAGAAGAAGACAGGTGATGAATATACTCAACCAACAACAACATCAACAACACCAAGCACCAATCACTATGGACAGAAGAAATGTAAACGAAGTTGTCTCCTTACAGGCGGTGGGGGAGGCACAGATAAGTATGTCAAAGCCAGACAGGATCGAAAAAACAGCAAGACAGACCTTCATTAATCTGAAATCAGTGTGGAGATTTACTGCGCTGCACTCATCATAAAGCGTGAACAAGATCCGGATTTTCAACACTAATATCAGTCAAGTAAGTCAGTGTTTCTATATGATGGTTGAGAGAGTTGGTGCCTTACGAAAAGCATATCCGACAAACTGCAGACACAGATCAACACCTCTCTACGCTGGATGATGAAGATGAAGTGAGATGAGAAGGTGAGAAAGAATAAGTAAGGAGGAAGTATGGCCTACCAACGAACCAACCAATGTAGCGAGAAGCTATCGTCCAACAAATATGCAGTAGAAGAAAGTGGAGATGGATTGGATTGGGCATACACTGAGAGGACCATTTGGGGACCACACGCCAGGCCGTCGAGTGGGATCCAAAGGGGATAGGACGAGTTGGGCGTCCGAGTTGAGGGTGACATGGAGGAGATTGTGTGAGGAAGAAATGAAAGGTTGTGGGCAGTGGTGGAGCCGAGTTAAAAGACTGGAGAGAGGAGAGTTAAATGGAGACGTGCTACTGAAGCCCTATGTTCCACTAGGAACCGAGAGGAGAAATAATACAAATAATAATGATAAAATTCATTCACAACATAGGAAATAACACAAAATGAGATCGTAAAACTACTCCTAATTCATGGGCTTCAACAATAGTTATCTCTAAAAGATCACACACATTGGATGTAATTAGGAGAGTGCTCAACAAATACAATATCACAGCACCATTACAGAGCACCTGAGTTGCTTTGAATGAGAAAATCCCTTTAGATTCACAATGTAATTGTGTTTATAAGAAAAAGTGCTGAGATTACTAGGATGCAGTACATATGGAAAAAAGTTAGGAAAAATAAACTGTGAAGGGCTTCTACCCGTTGCTGCAGAAATCCAGTGGAGCTGATAAAGTTGCAAGGTCAACTTATTGACTGTGTGGGAATTATTCAGAAAGACTTTCGAATTTATACGGAACATGTCGTAGTAGAATCTCTTCATATAAGGTGGAATCGAAATTGTCTAAGTAGAAATGAGGGAGTAACGCGTAGTTTGACCTGGTCTCAACCCACCTCTCACATACTGACATAATCAACATGCATGTGATAAGAACTATCAACACATTTGTGTACACACAAACCTCAATCTGTAAGTCACATACGCGTCTCACTCACACATACACAACACATTACATATGGGTATCATCTTTATTCTACAATTCTGACAACGGAGAGTCATTTATGCTGAAGAACACTTGTCAAGGTTCGAACACCACTTTACCTACTGAAGTGGTTTTAGCAGTCAGGTAGTATCACTTGTTCTCGCACAATAGGTATGGCTTCTTATATTGTCATACGAATGTGCACAAGGTTGCCGAGTGCGTTTCGCTTCTCTTCGAAGATGTTAGCAAGTTAACCTCAAAAATTGTTGTTATTGAGAGATAGAGAAAAATGTAAATCATGTTTTATTAGTTTATGTAGTCTAAAGACTATTAAAAGACCATCTTAGTTTGGATACATTACCTTGTGGCTATTCTTTTTTTGATTGAATAGGAAAGGTTTTTAGTATTTTTTTTCTTTACTCAAACAGTTACATCGTCATAGAGGAGAACAAAATCCATTTGACAATTCTTATTCTCCAAGTATTGCTACCCATTGTTCTGTTCATTGTTGTCATGTGATCAAGCTGGTCTATTCTCCTGTTAAATATTAGAAATAAGCAATATTGTTCATGATACATGACTTACGTAAATCTCTGAACATATTTGCGCTGGGCTACTTAATTGTCCGTTGGAAACACAAAGCCAAGACATTGGGATGTAACTATATGTACGTGTTTAAACCGTCGTTGTGGAACTGTAGGTCATTGCTTCAAGCAATTGACTTTGAGTTAAGGAGTTGCGGATTCGAACGGAGCTCTATTTGCCGAGGTTACAGCTACCAGGTAGTAGTATTATTGACCCTCACCCAATTGCTGCGACTCATTGTCTGCATTTCTACCTAAGCTGTCGTTCGAAGGGGAAGAGATCGCAACATGAGTAGTCGCTATCAGATTATGAAGCTTATATATCAGTGCTTCTGTGGTTATGTCTACCAATATCTAAATTATATACTTAGTCGCATTATAAAGTTTACTTCTCACTTGACTGACTTGTCTAAAAGTAGAAAGTGGTAGACTTTTTCAATTGTCACACTTCAAAATGGAACAGTACACAAAAAAGTTAGCAAATGTAGAGTGAAGTACACAAAAGAACAGACAGAGAGGTGAATCAACACGGAACCTGTCACAAAAGCGCACCCATTCAACTTATTACACTTCATGTCCAATTGGTCAACAGGCTTCATTGGCCAAGACTCTAGCAACCCAGGCCATGGATGTGTGCTGTGTTTGAGAGACACCTATATATGACTCAAGCGCAATTACTCACTTAACCTCTCCCGGCCAATCTAGTGAACCCACGAAATTCACCCTTCGACTTTCTGGTGATTCGATGACTAGTTCTCGCTGTTTTGCAAGTGTAGGCATTGCACTGAGCACTACGGTAGAAAACTCACTACTACACGGGATCTCAATTGGTAGTCGCATCTGAGCTGTCCAGCTGAACGGCATGGTAACCACTAAAAGGAACAGTGAAACTCGCCATTGACTCTTTATGGTCTCTGCTTACTCACCGAATGACTGCAGTTCGGATGAAGTGAAGGATGAGTTCTACCGAAAACTATCTAGCCTCCT